TTCAGAAAGGGCTAAAAAGCAGGGAAAGGTAAAGGAGAACAGGTTGGCATAAGTGTTAAAGGCAGGGGAACAGAGAATAGGAATCTCAATGAGAAGAAATATGCAGAACTTTCTGATTGTCACCATTGTATTTCTTTTTCTTCCATGAGAGCTAGCAACATGATCATTTTATGTCTGATTGTATGTGTGCTTTTAAAAGGAGAGTCTGAGGGAGCTAAATTTTCCACCTGATACCAGACTCCAGATGGTGCTCATATGGGTGTCTTGAAATAGCAAGCATGTAATCTAATTAATATCTATCAAAAGAGAATAAAAGTTACACAAAGCTTGCACAGACATGAGAACAGCCAGTCTGTTTCCTAGCCTTTGTCCCAGAAGGAATTTTTAAAGCTGTCTAATGAGGAGTTGCTTTTACATTAGAGTGGTATTAAGCAACTGCCAAATCAAAGATGGAAATTATTTTCAAGGTTTCAGATTATTTTGGAAGAAGAAACTTTGCCATTTAAACGCTGAAACTTTCTCTGCTCATATGTACTTTGCTCAAGGTACTTTGCAATACAAGTTTTTGTCCATTCTTCAATTGCCCTTGTATACAGAAGTTCATTCGACACCAAGTCAGGCAGGGTTCAGGGTAGAGCAGCCTTCGGAAGTGTGTCCTTCAGAAATGTTGCACTTCTACTTCCATCAGCCCCAGTCAGCATGGCAGTCTCCAGGAATCCTGGCAGCTGGGAGGCACTAGGCCCGAAAAAGCTGGGTTGGAAGGGCAACAGGGAAAATATAGCCAGCACTATGGCCTGCAATAGGATTGCAACAGCCAAGGGACACCCTTTCTTTGCACTTTTACATGCTTCTATGGTTCCATCTCTCAGCCATCTCGAGGCATCCTGACCATTTAAAGCATGCTTTAGGATGCCAGGAGAGAGTCTGGGCCAAGCACTCTTCCCCTGCCTGCTTTCCCTTGTACACCAGTCTGATCCAGCAATAAGCTACCTGAGCTCCCAGTCCCTCCTAGAGGCAATGCTGGCTTCAGGTCTTGGAAGGTCCTTGAGCAAGCTCTTTGTCCACTGAGCTGACCTTCCTTCTGCCTTTGTCACCAAGAGCTCTTGCTCCTCAGCCTCTTTTTCGTCACTGCCACCACTTGCTTGCTTGACACCGTCGGATCCTCCTCCTCACCCATTGCCTGGGACAGCATGACAGGCAGATGAATGATCAGGTTTGCACAGGTTTGCAGGTTTGCTGAAGTGGAAGCGCAACTTCAGGGGGCTAATGCCAGTAGGACCTCTGCCTTGACACCAGCCCTTCCTATAGGGACTGCGGTGGGCGACCTGCAAAGAGGATGCCGCTTGCCCTCTAAGTGTGTCTGCCACAGGGCCCAGCTCAGCTGGTCAGCAGCGAACACGTCAGAAAATAGATTTTTTCCTCCTCCTCGTCCTTCTCCCTGGTGATCAGATGTGTGTACGTATGTGTGAAGAAATGCTGTGTCTATTAAAGAAATGACTTTGTTAATGAAGTAGTCGAGGATTCATTTTCTGTACTGCACGGAGCATCTCCTCTGATGCTGGCCACACCTTGTCCTCTAGCTAGTCTGAACCAGTTCCTGGTTAAGCACCACAAAGACAGAGATCTTCATGAGACAGGGCCCTGTTCCTGCAGTTAGGTTTATTGGCCATGGTGTAATGGCGGAGGCCAGTGACTGATCAGGTGGGTCAACAAAGATAACTGGCACTTGGGCATTCCATAATGAACGGGGTTGGCCAGAAGTTGGATTTGGATTTGACAATTGGCTTGATAATTTGGCTTGATAATTCACTTATGGTTCTTCTTCCAAGCTACTTAGAAAAAGGCGGGGTGGGGTGGGATTAAGTACGGAAGCAATGGAAAATAAGTACCTTGGTGAAGGGTGGTCGTTCCACAGTATGTATGGGGATGACATGTGTATGCAGAGATGGGGGTGCTGGAAGGGATGAAGAGATGGAGCAAGGTATGTGAGTGTGTCGGTTGACTGAGAGGGGTGAGGGTCTTTGTGAGTTTTTACAAACACGCACACACACACACACCCCAGGCCTTTCCATCTGTCCACACAGCACAGACTTCATCTGCCCATTCAGAGACTGTCATGAGATCTGTGGTGCTGCTGCTGTGGCGATTGTAGCACTCTCTCTCCTACTATCCCCAGTTGTAGGACGGGGATGATGGTCATGATCTTAAGAGAGAGAGAGTGTGAGGGACCCTGGCCTTGCCGTCTTCCAGCATGTACTTCCAAGGGCATGTGGCCCTTGAAGAAAATGGATGGATGGGTGGGTGGATTGTCCATTCCTGCCATAGAAGATGCACAGTGGGGGAAAGACCAGAATAGCATGCTCTGTTCTGAGCCTGCCAGGGCTGTGCAAGTGAAGCCAAGCACAAGATGTTCCTATGGTCATTCAGCAATAGTCATGTTAGCATGCTATTCTTAGGTCTGTAAAATAAAAAAGCGAACAGATAGGGCCCCCCAAAGAAGAGATGCGGTAAGCACTGCAAGAACTTTGGCGGGGACACTTTCTGTGTACCTGTGAGTGATGGTGGGACTAGTGATACTTGCAGCTTGACAGCTCATCAGCGCTTCTGAGATCATTTTTAGATCTTTTCTTTTTGAAGAGGCAGCAACCAGATGCCCACACGGCATGTTAAAACAGCTCCTGTGCTCCGGTCACTTCCCCTTGCTTGCCACCAACCTGTCTGTGCCACCCAGAGAACCAGGTGTGCCGTGCTGGTGGGTAGAGGAGACTGGCAGCAGTGGCAAATACCATCTTGTCTAGGATGCCAGATTGCCCTGTGATAGACCTGCAACTCACTTAACTAACGTGGCAAGTGGAAAGATGGACAGACAAGTTAAAAAGCTAGAAGCCGTTTCAATATATTCCTTTGGGCATCAGCTGGAAACTCTGAATGTTTATGCAGTTGAGGGGTAAAGGGATGTGTGTGCTTAACAGGATAACATCAGTGCATTCCAGAAGCCATTTGGAAGAATGGTTCTTGTCACCTGAAGGCAACATAATGCATCTAATACAGTCAAAAGCTGTTCCCTGGGTCATGTCCTAGAACTGGCCTAGACAAAGGCAGCAGAGTGCAATCTATTTGTTTGCAACACAGAAGATTGTGCATGTTTTTAAAGGAAGGTGCAGGGAGAGGATAGGGGATCAGTGTTTTCATTTTTGAGGCAGAGAAAGGGCATTCCTTCAAGAATGGACAAACTGTCTTCCCTCTGCCTTTCTTCTCTCCCCCCCGCCCCCCCGGACGATTTCTCCTCTGTCAGAATTACCATGCGAGTTCTGGAGAAGTTTTTCCATCTGCTCCTGAACTCCCAGCACCTTAGCCTGGAAGGGTGTGGCAGATACCTGAGCACACAGAAATGAAAGTGGGAGGCACCAAACATGCCAGGGCTGGACTCTCTGCAGCTCCTTGCCCTTGGGCAGCTGGGGAAGAGGAGGCGGCGGCATCCGCGGCTGGCATGCACTCGCTCCCATGACAAGCAACTGGGGAGCGGGGAAGGGGTCTGTGGAGAGGTGGGTATCAGAGCGGAGGGCAGCTGTGTCAGAGGAAGCCTTCCCCATTCATGCGATGCCAGGCTGGCACCCACCACGCTCCTCTTGAGCCCCCCCTGCATTTCCTCCCCTTCTCCAAGCAGCTGCTGCAGAAGAGAAGAACTCCGCTGATTTTTCAAGGTACGGCGCGCTCCCCGAAGAGCTTCTTGTTGCTCTTGGTAACGCTTGGTGGCTCAGCATGGCAAGGATGCTTGCCGGTGTGTGGGGCGTGTGCGTGTGCAAGGCGCGTGGCTGGTCCCCCCGCTTTCCCACCCTTTGGGAAATATTCCCATGGACGTCTTCCAGGGGCTTCACACCTGCTTTGTGGCGTGGGTGTGAGCAAATCCTCTACCCCAGACACAAGCACACACTTCCTCCCCTTGATCTCCCGATCACGGCAGTGGAAATCTAGTTTAGGGAGTCTTCTCCCCCTTCCCTTTTATTTCTCCCCTAGAATTAAGAAAAAAATAAGATTATGTTAAGGTCAATGGAAGAAAGGGAACCTGGCTGGGTGGAGGGGGAGAGAGACTCTCTCCGCCTTGGTGTCTCTCTTAAGGGAATGCTCATTTCGTTTTACGGATCAAGAGGAGGAGAGGCACACCTGGCTGTCTCCCTTTCGCGCTCTCCCCCCACCGCGTGTGTTTGTGTGGGTGTGTTCAGACAGAAAGAATCTATTGCAGCATTTTCTTTTCTTTCAGACAATGATCACTTAATTTTTATGGCCAGGAAAAGGGCTTCTCACCTGGATGACGTGGCAGCGGGGGCAGAATCGCCCCCACTCCACCTTTGCAGCTTGTCTCTTCCTTACACGCTGACCTGGAAAGCGCATCTTACTTCTCGGGGGGAGGCTAGTGGGGTGGGGACAGTTCGCGCCGGTGCAGCATGCCCTCTGCTTCTCTCCTGCAAACCCCGCTCAAACGCCCTGAACCCGCCCCCCCCCGCAAAGAAAAAAACCCCCTTCCAGGTAGCGAGAAGCAGGCGCCCCTTTTTAGCATTCCGGACCGCCACAGCTCAAACAAGTAGCGGATCCCACAAGACTGGGGGAGCCGCGCTGGCCCCCGTCCCCTCCCTCCCCCTCCCGCTCCCCCCTCCCGCGCGCGCGCACGCACACGCTTTCCCGGGGATTTCGCCCGGCTCGCAGCGCTCTGCCTGTTCCCGGCTTTGCTAGCGGCGCGGGGAGGGAGGCTCCGGCTGCCTCCTTCCTCCCTTGAGCGGCAGCGGCGGCGGCGGCGCGGAGAGTGTGTGCGTAGCTGGGAGAGATTTGGGAGGTTTAGGGGCTCGTTGCCATGGCTCCCTTGAAGCTCAGCCGAAGGAGATATTGATGCCAGTCACGGAGGGACCCTTCTTCCCTTCCGTGCGCTTGATATTTTCTCCCTTCTCCCCCCCCCGTCTCTCTCTCACCCCCCACCCCTTTGAGGGGAAGAAGGCAAAGTGATTAATTTACTGAGCTGGGACCGGGCTGCTCACCTCAGCAAGCTGGAGCGGCACCCTCCGCAAACTCCTGCCTCTCCGCGGCCAGCTCCCCGCACGCCCGCAGGCAGGCAGGCAGGCAGGCAGGCGCGCCGCCCCCGCCCCCCGAGCCGCGAAGCGCTCCGGGCAGCGGCAGCGGCGCATCCCGCCCCCCGCGAGCTGCAAGGTAAGAGGGAGCGCGGCGCGGCGCGGCGCGGCGGGCGGGGCCGCCCTCCCCTCGATGGGAAATCGATCACTATTGGCTTCTGTGATCGCGGAGCAGGTCCCGTGGGGGTCCGAGGGGCTGCGAGGAGCGACGCTGGAGCGACGCGAGGGGACGGGGCAGCCGGGTGGGGGGGCAGCCCGAGAGGGAGCGTGGACTCGTTCCCCCTGGGACATGCAGGCGACCTGGGGTGGGGGTCCCCGCGGCTGGGGTGCGGGGAAAGACCAGCGACTCCGGCGGAGCACCTGCTCGGTGGGTTTAAACCCCCGGCACTGCCCTCCTTCCCTCTCCTGTGGCTGAGCCCCTTTCGCGTCCTTTTTGACAATTTCCCACGACTGTTCCTGATGTGGTTTGGAGCCGGCTACGAATATGGGCTTGCCTTTCGCCTCCAAAGTAAATCGGGGAACTCGGATCTTCCCGAACGTGCAAGGGAATTTTCCTGGGAAGCTTGGCGTGGCGTGCTGTGGCGGTGCGAATTTTTCCGTGAACGTGGGTGGGTGTGTTCTTCGCTGAGCTGTAGAAGAAGTCCAAGACGGACAGGGGGATGCCCGCAGGTTTGCGTGGCACGTGTGGGAGTAGTTGGCATCCCGCAATATAAACCGTGATCCCCCCGCCCCGCTCTTTTCTTTAATGCCCACCACCCTTCTCAAGGACCAGGTGAGGTAACGGAGCCTCAGCGTTAAGGTCCCGGGAGCTGGGGGTGGGGGGTGGAGAGAAATCAGTGTGTCATTTCTGCCTGAACGAAGCTTACCTGTGGATGCATTTAGTGGTCCAAAAATACAGGGGGGCCCAAGTGCTACTGACCGGAGGAAATCGGCTTGTTCTATCCTGTGGATTGTTCCTGGTGCTAAATCTGAGGCTTGTAACACCCTCTGCGTGTGTTTCGGGGAAAGAGCAGCCGTGTTAATTGCTCTGGACACACTCAAGTTGGTCGAGTTTGATGCACTTCTGGCAGAGTGCAGCTCTTGATTAGGGTGATCGTAGCAAAAACCAGGAGGCAATGTGCAGTTTTAAATATTATTTCGACCAGTGTAATTTGCACAATGGAAGAGCAAATCAGCTATTTAAGGCAGCATGAGAACCCACGTGTGCCAGGACGTTGGCTCTGCCAAATTCCTACAACGTGTGATCAGGATGATTCCAAGCCCAGTGCACGGGAGAAGGACTGAGGGTGGGGGGCGATCTCAGCAAGGGAAGGGGGCATGGACAAAGGGAGGATCCAACTCCCTCTTCCCAAATGTAGACCGTGCCCTTCCAGCCTCTCCCACCTTTAGCGAAGTGTGAGCACATCCTGAGCAATGTGTGAGCAATGGCCATCGCATCTGATTCAAGAAGGAATGATGTATTGCTTTGTGATTTGCAAGCCACTTGGATTTCCATAAAGGCTGTTAACAGTTGTCCATGGTGACTGGTGCTGATGGTTATAGGCGACTTCCAGTATCGGGGGCATTGTGCTGATACACCAGTTGCTGGGGAACTGGAGTTGGAAATGTCATGCCTGTGGGTTTTCCGTGGGCTGCTGTTTGGTCAGTGTGTGAACAGAATGCGGGACCAGATGGACTTTGGTTCCATCCAGCATGGCAGAATAAAAATTGGCAAGGGTGCAGTTCTGTGCATGTCTAGGCATGAAATAGCCCACATCTCCCAAGGTTCTGATGCCAGAATACTATGAACTGTAGGAGTTATTGCTTTTTAAACATGCACAGGAAAACATTTGTTAAATGCACAACTAGCAGCTTTCATCCAGATGAGGTGTGTTATGCTTAAGTCCCATTGAAATTCATGTGGAAAGTTAATAGTGACTAAAAAGTGCAAATAAGTCTGGATTTAACCCACCAGAAACAGATAACTGCCAAGGATTCTTTGATGATGACTTCACCTGATAAAGTATTTGGACTTAGTGGTTTGGAGTGTAAAGCTAAAACTTAGCGGGGAAGGTTTGTGAATTCTTAGATTAATGGAGGTTTGAGAAATTTATAAAGTGTCATCAATCACCGTGCTTTTGAATGTAACAGTTTCTTGGGTTTCTGCTTTTCCATACTGTGTCCTTGTAAGAAGGGTGTTTCTCCAAGTAAGGTGGATACAGAACCATTTATAGACATGTATGTATATGTATACATTTATATGCAGACACATGAGGCAAAAACATTGTATTGATAGCTATGAAGAGAATGTTCAGAAGCTTAAGAGAAAGCTGCCTTGCCCTGAGTCAGACTCTCAGTCCATGTAGCCCATGTGGCCAGCACTGGCGGGCAGCTGCTCCCCACGACTTCAAAAACTTTTCCTGGCCTTACCAGGGGATGCCACCTGGGACCTTCTGAATGCGGAGCATGCATGCTGCCATTGAGCTGCAGCCCCTTCTAACAGCTTTTTAGACATTCCCTTGCAGCATTGTAGACCCCATTCTTGCCTTCGGCAGGGAGGCAGCCCCTTTTGGTAAATCTGGCTCACTCAGAGTTCCAGTTAGCCCTGTAGGGTTTCCCAGACAGTCCCACCCCCTTCCCTCACCATCTTCCAGGTGTGCAAAGACAGCTTAGTAGGTGTGTGGTTTGATGAGAAATAGAACTGACTGGAGAGAGTACACTCTCTGGAAATAGTTAAATAGAAGCTGGCTATTGCACTGATACCCATCAGCAGAAAAACACTTTTCTCTAACTATTTATGTTTGGTGGTTTTACTTGTGCAATATTTCCCCCATTCTGAAAAGCAAGAGTGCCTCTGCTAAGACTGTAAGAGATTTATGCTAAAATAAGCTTGTATTTTTGGCTTCACCCCTTTTGCCTTCAGCACCTGGAATGCCCTGAGACCTTTGGTGATACTCTTCAACATGACACATTTATTTGTGGGGCCTTTGCACAAGATCTTTCTCTTCCAGAGCTTCTCCTAAGTTTTCCAGACTCTTTAGCAGCACTTTCAGAATGACGACAGTCTGCTATTGTCCTAGCATTTGCTATACAAGTCTGGTTTTTAAATTGTGCTCTATACCAGAACACCACTTCATATTGCCTAATACAACAATATCTAGAAAGGCAGATCTTGTGAAAGATACATCTGCAAAGGAAACAGAAGCAGCAGAAGGCTCAAGTAAAGCACCAAGTTATATGCATCATATAGAGAAACCCATGACATTCAGCCCTCGAGCTGAGAAAGGGTCAACTCCAGTCCTATGGTGCATGCATTACTGGATTATACATACGTGTTTGGACCCTTCCTTGTACTATAATCCAGTGATATTTATCAGCTTTCGTACTGCTTCATGCTGAACTGAGCCTTTGGCATGGCTGTACATGTCGGCATGATTCTTGCCAGTGCTTTCTGGATAGTGTCCATGATGTGTAATGAACCTTTCCTCTTGCCTCTCCACTATCTAACAGATAACATTTTCTTCTAATTGCCTTTTTGTGTTACAAGGAGAGAAGTATGTCTCCTGCATATTGACATACAGAGTTATGTAGCACATTTTTTTCCCAAAGTGCTTTCTCTTAGGAGTGACATTGACTAGACAAGAAGATGCTTTCCATCTGTTCTAATCAATTGCCCATCTCCTTTGAATTCTGTAATGGAATTAGTGTTTGGGTGTGCAATGGAAAATGAGAAAAATGGAGCAAGAGCAGTGCCTCCTTCCTTGAGCTCATGAAGTTAACATGCCACTGACACTGTGCCATTGAAAAAAAGGAAGAAAAAAGGAAAGCTTTGTTGCATTTCTGTACTGCCTAAAAGTCTAATCTCTCTGGCCAGTTGTAAAAACCATGCAATGCAACACAGTAACATATAGAAGTCTAAAAGTATAATATATATATATATATATTTAAATGAAGCAAAATAAAATAGCAACAGTGCAAAGACTGCTTAGATATACGTGTATAGTGACATTTATGCTGGAACATGTATTGGGATATTTAACTTAGACTCTAGGGTGTTCCATGGAAGAGCACAGTCTCCCAGAAGGAGAAATAAGTAAAAAGACATTGGGCTTTCTTACATATGCATTTATTCTGTGCTGATCATTCCCCATTCATGATTGTTTATGAATTCTTTACGTGATGTCACCAACCTCCACTTTCATTTTTGCATCCAGCCAGCACTTTGGGAGAGTTACTTTTAGAACAGGGAAAATGCAGCATTTAATTGTTAAAATGAAAAAGTGTGATTTCCCCTTGTGAATTTGCAGTATTCTGCTGTGGCACAATACCACCTAGGGACTCTAACCTGAGCCTGTATCTAACATGATACAGCCAGGTTAGAGTCAGTGCAGCCTAGGTCCACAAGGATGGTGGCCGGTTTGCAGGGAAAGCCGTATGAGGCGAGACTGAGGGAACTGGGTCTCTTCAGCCTGGAGAAGAGGAGACTCAGAGGGGATCTGTTGGCAGCATACAGGTGTGTGAGGGGGTGTCTCACAGAGGTGGGTAGAGACCTGTTCTTCCATGCAGGACGCGCTCCAACGGAGGAAAGCTCATGGAACAAAGGTTCAATTTAGATGCCAGGAGGCACTTCCGAACAGTTAGGACCCCGAGGGTGTGGAATGGGCTTCCATGGGAGGTGGTTGAGGCCCCCTTGGTGAGGGTGTTCAAGGATAGGCTAGACATGCACATGGTGGGCATGTCATGAGTGGAGTCAGCTGGAGCCGGGTGTCAGACGAGATGGCCCGGGAGACCCCTTCTGACTCGCTCTGTTTCTATGTTTCTGTGTTTTGCAGTAGGAAAGACTAAGCTCCTTGTGCTTCTGTGACAGAATCTGGAAGCAGATGCAGCAGATAACAGCTGATTAACAACCTCATGTAAAAAACACTCAGTAACCAAGAAAAGGGTTGCTTGAATGAAAGAACTGCCCTCTAAAAGAGGAATGGAACTTCCTCAAGAGAAGGGCTTCAAGCATGATGGATCCTTCTACCTGATTTTGGAGATATCACCCTCCCACCCAACCTAGGGGTGTGTGATCTTGGGAATTCTATTCTGTCAGAGCTC